TTGGGGGGGGGGGGGGGGTGTTGATGGTGTACGAAAAACAGGACAAGAAGATTTCGCGTTCGCAGAGACGGCTGGAGGAAGGGGGACAGGGTGCGATGGCGATGGACACGGCCTCTCTCCGCAACAACGAGGAGATCATGAAGATCGAGGTCCAGGTAAGAGACACAGGGTGACAGATGGATGTTGTTCCAGAACGAGGCGCGCACGTCCGAAAGAGGCAAAGCAGAGAGATCAAGAGGCAGACGGAGAGGCCTTGTTCTGAGAGACCAGGATTATTGGTTTGGTTGTACGGGGGGGGGGGGGGGNGGGGGGGGGGGGGGGGGGGGGGGGGGGGGGGTAGCACGCCTTGTTTTGCACGAGGTGGAGGCACGGAGGGCACGATCCCCCGACCAAAACGAACAGAGGCCTTTTGACGATGGCGGCAGACAAGACAGCAGGGATGTCAAGGAGTATAATCAGGCAGACTGTGAGGTATCGGAGCGGAGGATGTGGTATGACCCCCGTCTGATTGTGATAAAACATGCGTGGCTGAACATGATTTATGACCGTATGCTTCTGCTGTGTATGCGCGTCCAATAGATGAGCGAGATCATGAAGAATGCTGAGGCGAAGGGCGAGGAGGGAGACGTGGACGAGGCCCAAGAACTGTTCGAGCAGGCGGAGGAGCTGCAGCGCACTAAGGCCGAGTTGGAGGCCAAGGCGCTGCAGGTGCTAAACTTTGAGTAGTGCCTATTAATGGAGGAAGTGAAGAGAGCACAGGTGATTCCACAGCATATCGGCGAAATGCGAATCTCTTGTTGATGGCACGAAGAAAATGATGATCATTGTCGTGCTTCTCGTACCCTCGTGGAGACTACGCCTCGCTTGGGCAAAGATGCAGCTGTGATGCGACTCACCGCGATGCATCTCTGGTTCAGCCCTCGACTGTGTATTGTTTCACAAACTAGGCATGTGCAGATGTGCAGACCCTCACACCATCCCGTGTGCAACTCCCTCTCTCTCTCTCTCTCTCTCTCTCTCTCTCTCTCTCTCTCTCCCCCCCCGTGTCCTATGCTTTCGGTTCTCTGTTTACAGGACAGCATCATGGAAGCCAGGGCTCAGTCGGCTCCCCTCCACCTCGCCACATCCAACCCCACCGCGCAAGAGCTGGGGAACGCGACTCAGCAGAAGCTGCGCGTGTGTGACATCTGCGGCGCGCTGCTGTCCATCTTCGACTCCAACGACCGTTTGGCGGAGCAGTGAGTCATCTGCACGTAGTGGTTGAGAACAGCCGGTGCACAAGGGGCGTGTTTGTTGGCGGGGGTATGTGGAAGAAATGAGCAGGGGGTCTCTTGAAGCAAGGGTCCCTCCATGTGGAAACCGTGGAACACCCCCGCCAATCCCCCTGCCGGGCGAAGATTGACACGCAGGATAGCCACTTTAGGCGGCTCACTTGCAGCAGTCTATTATGAAGGTTGAAGGACTTGGTGTCTCAATAGCAAAACCAATACTCTTCATTGATGAGGCTTTCCTGTCGTCATACTATTTCCTTCACCATACACTAGTCCTCGCGACCATGTTTGACGTGTATTCTTGGGGTATTTCCATATTTTCCACTAGCTCTGTGTGGGATCCCGCGCGCGCGCGGCTGAAAAAGGGCCCAAAAAACGTCGAAACCCCGGGGATTTTGTCCAAATTTTTCCCCCCGGGGACATGTAAGGCCTGTCCCCCCCCCCACCGCGACCAAGATTGACACGTAAGCTAGGGGTGTTCCAATGTTTCCAGATGGAGGGACCCTTGTCTTTAAAGTCACGTGCGCATATAGGGTGAGAGCAGCCTTTACGTGTAGGAGGCGTGTTTGTTAGTGGGGATGTGTGTTAAGATTTGTTTTTGTGTGTTGGGTGTGTCCTTGCTGTGTGTCGTTGTTTTGCCCTGCAACGGACACTTTCGCGTGTTGTTGCTTGTTGCTGTTGTTGAGTTTTGTGTGTTGTCGTTGTCGTTGTAGCGCTGTTGTTGTTGTTATCGGGTGCACAAGGTCCGCCGGTCGGCAGCTTAATTGGTGTGGTGACAAACGTCTCTGGCGGGAAGGTGCATGAAAAAACGGACGCTCATGGTGTGAGGGTCAGGCCACGCCTACGTTATGACCTCGGGTGTGCGGAAGCGATACCTTGACATGTGACGACTTCACGACAAGAGTTGTACCTAGATTTTCCCACTGTTGTGAAAGCGACAATTGAAGGTTTGTGTAGTGAAGCAGCCGCCACCCGCTGTCGTTTTGCCGCTCCTCCCGTCCTTTCTGCGGTGCCCCCCACCCCCCTCCCTTTTTTTTCAGTTTCGGCGGCAAGCTTCACATCGGCTTCGTTGACATCCGCACGAAGTTGGAAAGCATCCACAAGGAGAGGGCGGAACGTCTTAAAAAGCGTCAGGAGGAGGACGAGAAGGTACAGGGTAGGATAGGGCAGCTGTAGGGTGCAGCGGGCGGACCGCGCGCGCAGTTGAATTACAACGACACCGGCTACTTGTCTATTTGCATAGAGCGATGTTGTGGGAGCGAGAGTGTATGGCATGCAAGCAAGTAGCTTGGCGACAGACAAAGCACGAGTGTAGCGCGAAGACAACCATACGCAAGCCTCAACCTCGCATTGCCTCTTTCATTTGTGTATTTATTGCCGCTGCTTTTTTTTTTTTCTTTATTGTTAGAATCGTCGAGGAGGCAGGGACAGGGATGCCGAGAGCCGCAGCAGCAGCAGGAGGGACGGGGACCGCAAGGGTAGGGATGACAAAGACAGGGACAGAGACAGGAGGAGGGACAGGTGGGTCGGATCGAGATCCTCCGTGCGGTGTCGGGCAAAACTGACAACCGTAACTTACGTACGGCAGTGTCGTCAGATTGCGTCGCTGCCGGTGTGCTGGTCATTGCTTGTTTTGCTTGCTGTCGTCCCGTGTCACGTGTGCATCACGTAACATAGCATGAGGTACTTTTTCAACAGCAGAAAGAGCCCCTAGACAGGATCACAGACACAATGCCTCCCTGTGTGTATCGTTCCTTTTTTCACGCGAGAAGGCCATACAGAAGTTGTAGAACACCACCTCATTTTTTTTGCTTGCGTTTTTTTATCGTGTCATGTTGACCCCCTTCCACCACCCCCCCCTGTCTCTCTCGCTCTCCTTCTCTCTCTCCATCCCCCTCTCCCTCGCTTTTTATCTCAGGTCGAGGGATCGGTCCCGGGACCGGGGCAGAGACCGTTCCAAGGGCCGTTCTCGAGACCGCTCCAAGGGCCGTTCTCGAGACCGCTCCAAGGGCCGTTCTCGAGACCGCTCCAGGGAACGATCCAGGGATCGCCGGCACCGTGAAGATAGCCGCGAGCGGCGCAGGTGAGTTTTTTTTTATCAATCTAATCATTTGTTCCCCTCGCCATGTCTGACCAATCGTTTTTTGGATATGCTGTATGCCGTTGTTGTTGTTGTTGTCGCTGTTTCCTGTTGTCTGTTGGTCTGCTGTCGCGGGTGATTTTGCTGTTGTCCCTGAGAGGATGCACGAGCTACCCGATCGGACGGCATCAGATACGAAGATTCGAAGATACGATGCGATGGATGTACAGTAAGAAGCTCAACGAGGGAGGAGGGCGAGTCTGGTTGGTGGGACTTGGAGGCGTTTGTTAAGCGTGTGTGTTGAGGTGTCACCTGTACTCATCAGCAACGGTGACGGCTGCCGTTTCATCGCCGCCGTGAGGGCCCCTCGAACGGTTGGGGGGGGGGCCAGGGTAGACGTCGCCCCCCGATGCTCTATTCATTTCCGTAGCACTTGCTATCCGGAGGAATATGCCGGGTCTTATCCTTCCGTGCACACGCCTACGTGAGTACGCCTGCCAATGGATGGAGATCTGGCCGAATCGGTCAGGACATGCTGCTCGAAGTCAGAGCACGAATGGAAAGGAAAAGGAAAATGGAAGTCGGGGAGGTGTGGAGGGCGGGATGGCGATTCAGTCGATGGATGAGTTCCAGGTGTGATCGATCGGTGATCGGGGGCGGCGGGGGCGGGTAAGGTAGAGCGGGCCCGTTCTTTTTATTGCCTCCCGTTGTTGAGACCATGGACCAACCCACAATCTTCCAGAAGCCTCCCCCCTCTCCCGATGTCAAGCAATAGCCAAGGGCCATGGAAGTGCTCTCTCGGTTTGTCTTGTTTGACGTGCTGGTGAGGTGTGCGTTGCCTGTTCGCGCGGTGTCTCCCCTCATGACAGCTCTGACGAACCTCCCGATACATGCATAGCAGCCCGGACGATGATGTGATCCCCTCCGACGTAGCCAGTAGACACGGGGTGAATCGTTGTCCCACACACTCGGACGACAGCCTACGGCGCACCGTGCGGAGCAAAGTTCGCCGCACTGCCTTGCGTATGTTGCGCTATTTTTCGACGAGAGAAGGGTGCTCGCATGGCGCGTGGTGAGCTTGTCCAACTACAATACCTTGCCTACTACCACCCCTCGTCACTCCTTGGTCGCGTGCTTCTGCGGCACCCCGATCCCCTCGCGCGGGCCAGCCGACGGGGAGTGATTTCTGTTCCGCTGCGGTAGCGCGGGTTGGGCGTGTGTACCAACCATTCTGCAAGTGCCTGGAGCTCTTGTCCCCGCCGTGTCCCCTCCCCCCCCGGTACACATACCGTGGACCGCGAGTACCCGAGTACTACAGCAGTACAACCGTGGTATGGTGTTCTATCGACAAGTGCTCCAGAGAAGCGAGAGAAAGAGAGCGCTTCGAGAGAGACCACACAGCACGTATTTGTCACAAAAAAAAAACGAGAGAGAAGCGCACGCAGGTATTATGCACCTTCTTTGTTGAAGCGTATTATTCCCAATCTTCTTCGCTTTCTTGTCGGGGACCGTTGTGTGTTGTGGTTGTTGTCGTTGCTGTTATTTTGGCGGCGACGTTTGGCGTCGCGGCAACTGCGTCAGCTGCGGAGCCGGTGCATTGCACCGAGCACCAACGAGCCCGCGCGTGCGTGATTTTTCCCCTCGCATCACATTCATTTACTGGTTTTGAGGCAATTGCTGCTGCTGATTTTCAACGAAGGTAGGCAGGCTCCCATCTGTCTTTCTCTTTGCTGACGGAAGCAATAGGCGTAGTCATTGGTACAGAAGAAATGATTTTCCCCCGCTCCTCTCCCCGCGCGGCCTTTTCTCTCTACGCCGCCAACACGCCTGCATTCGGACGGGGAAAACCATTTCGCGGAAAGGCGGCACGAGGACCGTGACAGAGACAGGTACGGCGGGGGCAGCGGTAGCAGGAGTTCGTACGGAGGCGGGGGAGGGGGGCGATACGGGGGCGGCGGGGGGCGCTACGGCGGCGGCGGAGGTGGAGGCGGAGGGGGGGCAGGGTACTACGGTCCCCGCTGAGGCGCCGGCACGGCAATGCCTTCCTGCTTCGGTTTTGTTTCTGGCGTTTGTCACCTTCTTTGATCGTCGTCGTATGCACGCAGCAGTTGGTTTTCTTTTGCTGAGGGTTGTACGATTGATTGCCGCACCCAACACCGTTGGCTGGGATACGGGATATATTGCAAGGCGCATCCCACCCGTGTAGCAGAGAGAAGTAGACGTTTTCCGCGGCGGCGAAACTGCTGGGATTTATGGCTGCGGTTTGTTGTTCGGATGCGATGCGGCTGCCGAGAAGAGGTGCTGCGTAGGGGCTGGATGAGGTGCGCGCCGGGGCGTGCGTACAATGCTGCATGCAGCCATTGTCACTGTTCGAAGTTTGTTTTATAGGCAATTGTTAGACAGCGAAATGCCGCAGGGAGAAGAATAGTCAGTCGCCCGGTACTGTAGCGCCCGATCGACATGGGTCGTCACACCGTCGTGTTTTCTTTTTTTTCTTCTGGCATGGATCGGGCTATAATACGTCACCAGCCGACCCCTTTGAAACTCAACAGAGAGTGGAAATCAGAAAAATCACAAACTAAAAACACACACACACACACGATTAATTGTCGTGAGTATATTCGTTGTGTTTGGCCACACTATGTAACCGGCTGAGAATGAAGGGCGTCGGGTACGACACTGGCGATAGTACTAGATAACATACACCGCTCGGTCGGAGGGGTAGGGGGCTCGTGGGAGGTAGGACGGAGAGGGGTCCAGGTGTGACCGTACGTGGGTCGGTCAGGGTACAGAGGCTGTGTACATCTCTTGCTTGATTTTTTTGCTGGGTGCATTAAAAATATCGTCGCGCACATGTGGGTTGCTTGTCGAAGTAGTACGTGGCAAGACGTTGTAGGATCGAGTTTCGCGGGACAAGTGCGATACAGCGATGCAGCTAAATAGCTTTTTGGCGAGAGTGCGTCTGATTTCGCGTGCAATGGACAGAACGGATCATGGGCAGGCGGCGACACCCAATGCGTGCGTGCATGGCTTGCCAAGGTACGGTGCGCGCTTGCGATTGTGTGGTTCGTTTGTTTAGTTTAGTTCGCCTGGTCTCCTCAGAGGTGCACTGCTGTGGACCGGGAAACGATGCGCGTTTTGAAGGCCGGAATAGAGGTCGATCTTTGTCCTTTGTCGATTTGGGGCAACCACCAGCTCTCGCCATGCGCTGGTTCGCCTCCCACCTGCACAATCTTTGTTGACGCAATGACAGCAGTAGTCCGTTCGAGATGATGACGGCACTGAGTGTTTTTTCATGCTGTGTACTTGGATTGATTTTTTGCGTACAAGCTTGCGTTTGGAATGGATTAAATTTGCTCCGGGGGGGGTAGGCTTATCTTGTACACCCATGCCGTATGTAGGCTTTAGACCATTGACCTCGCATCCCTTCAATGGCGGGACGGAGCGACATGCTGAGAGGTTGGGGAGGGGGGGGGGTTGTGAAGGTTAGTGATACGGGAGGGGGCTCGCACGCTGTTTCGATCGATCGAATAGTGCGTCAGTGACGAACGAAATAATAGTGGTTTCACATCTAGACCTACATCTACTGCTGCTGCTGTGTTTTGCTCGATCAATCAAGTCTGTTCAATACGTAAGCAGAATAGCATCAAAGCCGACAGCAAAGGCGGAACATGTCAAAAAGAAAATGTCAGTGGCGCGCCTGGCAACTATTCACAATGTGCAACAGCGGTGCCCTTTCGCTTTGTTTACCGCAACAACATATGCACGTTCATACAACAACAGGCTTGCCGCTTTTTTGCAATGACGCCTGGCCACGGCGGTACGTCCACTGCATAGGTCTTCCGGTGCAACTTTTGCGGGTCCGACTGCAAATGCACGCACTCCGCAATGACAGTAGTTGTGCTTCGTTTCCCGCAAGCAAAATATGCACCCATGCAACAGGCTTGGCTGCTTTTTTTTGCGGACACCTGTGTTGGAGAGGTTGGTGCGCCAGGCGCATTTAGACGGCAAAAAAAAAAGAACCACGCGGCGAGTTTACCGGCAAAGATAAAGTACAGTAAACTGCCCGCGGGTGTGGTAACCCGCCGCATCTGTGATGTTCCGGAGCGTGATGGCTCTGATGTGTTGACGATGGTGTTGTGATAACTTTTGTGACGGCGTGATAGCCTAGAGGCGTGACAGCCTGGCCGCGTGATAGCTGGTGGTGGATACTTAGTATGGCAACGGGCGTGATAGCAGCCCAGAGCGTGATAGCCGGGCAAAGGAAGATCAATTATCCAAGGAAGGGCACGTGGCCAACACCGTTGCAAACGCGTATACCCAGAAAACAACAATATGTGGCAAAGATGTACCACGATTCCCCCAATTCGTCACAACTGCGGAACTCCCAAAATTTCCCGCTCCATTATCTCAGAACGTTCCTCGGTTGCACTAATCTGTCAATGCTGTGAGTACATCCAACAGCCCCCCTGCTCGCTGCATTGTCAAGATTATTCCCGGACGTGTATCACACAAAACCCATCCCGAAAGCTCCAGAAATCAATGTCAATGTGCAACAATATAGTCGCATCTCCTTCTTCTATGCTCTTGAACAAAATAAACCGTTAGACTCAACCAGAAACACCAGTTGTTCCTACAGTACCAGAATTTCCATCGGTCTCCATTGTATCCAGAATCTCCAAAGATCAAAACATTCACTAAAACCATTAAATCAGAAACACTGATTGGAATTCCTATCGGTTGGTTGCAAAATTTAGCCAGGAACACCACCAAGAATTTCTAGAATTCCCAATATTCAATCATCCAACACTCAATCAAATCGTGGAAACAACCGCAACGGGTCATGTTAGAAACAAATGAAAACAAACGCATACACATACAACACCGTCCGGGACAAATCACTTTCCGAGGATATCTCACATCCACAAGTAGCAGAGTATGAATCATGATTCCACAAAATGCTCGACTCCATACCTCTCATATTATTATTCCTCCGACACAAAGCTCCGTTCAGTTTCCAACAAAACAATTCATTTCTTCCTGCATACCCTACCCACACATGTCTGGTTACGGCCCCCCTTCTCCGAACACCAGACGTCAACGGATCAACCCTCATCGTGACAAACGCATCCTGTGATATTTGGGTGCTTATAGAAACACCAACAAACGCAACCTGCATTGTGAACGAAATCAAATCCCGAACTTTGCAAATCGACCGTCGAAAACAGGCGAAACATTCTGTTCTTCGTGATGTTGCGGCAATTCATGGTCATGACACACCAATTCCCTCCCCTATGACGATTGACAACAGCATCGAAGACACAGCATCTTATAGAAATAGAGGGGTTCCCCCTGGCCGATGGTACATGGAAAGGCGCGCCAAACACACACACAGGGGACAACGTAGATAGAGCCTTCTGCCAAGAAAAATGCCACACGAAGAAAGGAACAAAAAACAAAAACAACAAGCACAAACATAGTAGCGGCCTTCACGACATGGCCGCAAAGATTCAAACCAAGAACACTGTTCCGTCACCATGATCTTTTCTTAACAGTTTCAACGCAGCCTTCATATCGCCAAAATATTCTTCCAGGTGTAATTTCAATCGCAAAACCAAATCCGAAGAAAGAACTCCGTAACAAGCCAAACCTAAAACCAAACAAAATAAACAACTTCCGGCACAACTCGAACAAAACAACTTCTTGGGCGACAGAAACAAGTATTCGGAAAGCACAGAGGCCCCAACAATCACTCCTGCCAACTCCTTTCTCCAGTATAGCCTGTGAGGACCAAACTAAATAGTGCGGACACGCAAATCGGTGCCGCCGTTACTGTCCAAGAAATAGACAGAAAATTCAAACAATACACATCCCGAAACATACCCCTTATATTTCAAGCGTTCATGCAAGAACACTCCGCGAATATCAATACGCCAACAAACAAACGTGCAGACAGCCCCCTGCAAAGGAAGCTGTTCATATGGAAATACATAAAAAAAAAATCGATTGCTTTTTATGCCCTCTAGAATCATGGTCACACATGACATTCTCCCCCTATCATTCTGGATGTACATAACAGCAACAAGAAGAAATATCAGTGCAATAGTAGAACGCGCTGCCAGATAGAAAGGCAAACAAAACTAAGCTAAACACGAAATCCACATCGTTAGATCAGACTCGATGTCGTCGCGCGATGCGAGGTGCGCCACGAGCCCAAACGGAATGCCGAGGAGCGACCCCCAGCAGGTTGCTCTTGGTCTCCCACGTGCACCCCTCCCAAACATGCTTTCTCCATAGCCCTCCATCTCGCCACCCCCCAGCTTGCCGCCCCTCAACTCACCGGCCCCTACCATCCTAGGGCAAATCATCGGCTTGCCGTTCAATACACGCCGGGTTGCATGCCCCGAAGGAGGCGATGTCGACGACGACGCGCGGGCGGTGGCTGGAGCGATCTATGTACCTTCTGCGGCGGAATGCTGCTGCGACGACAAAGTGGCGGCGGCGGCACTCCTCGCCGCGGCCGTCTTCGAGCCCGGCAGCTTGGCGGCACCTGGAGAAGGCGCAAGCCGTCCATCGGCCTCGGAGGTCAGTGGCGACGGCAGTGGCGCGGCGGTGATAACGGCGGCGGGCAGCGAAGCGGTGGTTGTCCTCGTCGCGGTCATCCGCGGGTCCGGCAGCGCGGCGGCACCCGGCGAGGGTGCAGACGGCACGCCGGCCCTGGGGTTTGGCAGCAGCGGCAACGGTGCGGCGGCGGCGGCGGCGGCGGCGGCTGCAGTCCATGGTGCGCCACCAGCGGTGTGCGACGGCGACGATGAAGTGGCGTCGGCGGTGGCGGGTCGCCACGGTGCAGCGGCAGCAGCGGTCGGCGAAGCGGTGATAGTACCCCCCGCGGCGGCGGCGATGGCAGACCAAGGCGCAGCGGTGGCAGTGGGCGGCCAAGCGGCAGTGGTCCCGGGTTTCAACTCCCTGGGGAGGGTGTTCCCTTGTTGCTTGGCAGTCAAACTCAAAATGGGTTCGGGAAAGTGGCCAGCGCGGTGGTGGAAGATGTCAATATCCATTTGTTCGGCACGACCCAACGCAGCCACATCATACTCAGACGCAACTCCTTCCCTCGCATCAAACATCCCCGCACTCGTTCCCGAGTCTCCCTGCAACTGCTCACCACCTTTGGGTGTTGACATCCTAGTGTGGCTTACCGGAGCTTGAGAGGTTTCAGCAAGGTTCACTATAGGAACAACAGGAACATCAAGCACAGACATACCAGGAACGGGAACACCAGACACCTCCCCATAACTAACAACTTCAATCTCATTTCCAGACACAGAATCAGACTTGCCTAGAGAATTCACACTACGTGTGAGGAAGAGACGAAGAGGGGCGCCACTTGCTGGAGAAATGTCGCCCGGAGGTGGAGAGGGGGTCGCCGTCGAGGAGGCAGAGGTCGTTGGAGTAGCGCCGGTGTACTGCTGCTGCTGCTGCTGAGTCGCCGGCTGAGTAGTGGTGCTAAAGGCCTCGTTGAAGACTCGCTGCTCATCAGCGTCGGGCCCTGCAGAAGGGGGACAGAACGGGCGGCCCCGACCCCAGCTTGCCCCTTGGTCCAGTTGGTGCAGCTGCTCTCGATATGATCCGCCCGACAAGCGCCCCGAGTCTTGTCCCCGGGCCTGAGAAAAACCTGGTCCGCGCATACTGTCCCTCTCGCGAATGAACGCCATGAAGTCGTTGTAGTGGAACAAGAAGTCCTGGCGAAGTTTATGGCAGTCCGGGATGTTGTGGGAGGAGTTCGCTCCGTGAACCTGACAGAAGAAGGCACTTTTCTGCCATCCGCTCCCGCAGCAGCTGCTCTCCTCATGCCGCCGCCCCGGCCCACACCGGCAGCGACGGGCGCATGCCTCGTGTCCTCGATCCCCTCTCCAGACCTCCGTTTGATCCTCTGCTCGTGCTCGGCCAGCCTCAGCGTCTCTTCCAGAGTACCTCTCGAAAGCATGGGGTGGAACAGAATACGGTCTTTGACATCGCCGTACACTGGGAGCAAGCCACGCCCAATGTGTCTCGACATTGACGTCTCCGCTCGATTGTCCCGACAAGACTGTAATTGCATCCACACAGTATTCGCCGTTCCCCAGTAGTCGACCAGAGTCTCTCCATGCTTCTGCCTTAGGCAGTTCCAAGTGTCGTCCAGGATTTCTCTCTCATGCGTCCTACTTCTAGTGTAGTAGGACTGAAACACTCCCCACCCTGCTTGTGGACTCTCTGAAGCTAGTATCTGGTCTAGTATAGGTTGAACGTTGATTTTCGTGATCTAGCATATCCAGACTCTCGTGGCATTTGGAACACTTTCATTGCCATACCTCTGCCGCAACCAAGTCTTATCGACGTGCAACGAACCCACAGGAATCTCTTCTCCTCTCATGATCTCTTCAAGACCCTTTGCATCCATCCACCCTGAGAAACAACTCGTCGAAATTCGGAACGCGACAGTCACACTCCGATCCTTCAAGAAAGCCTCATTCCGCTCAGGTACTTCGACACTCTCTCTCAGCTTCAACTCTAGGGGCTGGGAACTAGACGTGCCTGAGCGGACGTCATGTCCCGGAGTCTGGGAGGCGAAGGTGGCAACTTGGCGGAGGACGTCGACAAGGGCGATAGTTGGATCTTGTTCCCCTCCATCCGCGGCTACTCTCGGTCCTCCCTGGTCCACATCGGGGAGGTTCAACGAATCTCGTCCTTTCGCCCCGTTGTCTTCCCCGTGGGGAGATGAACTAGTCCCTGGTCCCCCCGGAGGTCCTCGTCCATCTCCTCCAGCCGTCGTATTCGCGCAGACACAGCAGCCACTCTCTTGATCTATTACGCTAGCGTGTTGGAGAGCTTGGTGCGCCTGGCGCAGTTAGTTGTAGACGGCAAAAATAAAAGAACCGCGCGGCGAGTTTACCGGCAACGATAAAATACAGTAAACTGCCCGCGGGTGTGGTAACCCGCCGCATCTGTGATGTTCCGGAGCGTGATGGCTCTGATAGGTTGACGATGGTGTTGTGATAGCTTTTGTGATGGCGTGATAGCCTAGAGGCGTGACAGCCTGGCCGCGTGATAGCTGGTGGTGGATATTTAGTATGGACACGGGCGTGATAGCAGCCCAGAGCGTGATAGCCGGGCAAAGGAAGATCAATAATCCAAGGGCACGTGGCCAACACCGTTGCAGACACGTATACCCAGAAAACAACAATATGTGGCAAAGATGGTACCACCATTCTCCCAATTCATCACAAATGCGGAACCCCCAAAATTTCCCGCTCCATCTTCTCAGAACGTTCCTCGGTTGCACTAATCGGGTGTTTGCGAAAGAGTGAATTGGTTTTGGTCTTGCGGACCACACTAAAGACTGAAACCAAAACCGAATTCGGTCTTGAAAGGGTATGCGAAGAGCAGAACGGGTACTGCGGTCTTTTTCGGGGCGAAAATCCTGATGGGTACCACATGAAACGCTCACGGACCCCCGTGGTGGACACATGAAGATTTTCAAATTCTCTGGCACCCTTACACAGAGCAACAGCGATCCTACACCCACTCCACACACAGCAACAGCAGCTCCCACGACGTACAGCATTAGTTGAGCATGGCAGAAAACACCAGTTCGCATAAAGCGTCCCGACCTCCATGAAGCGGGCCTCATTCTCTGCCTCGCTGTCTCCTTCCGTAGCCCCCTCCTCTCCGTATTCAAGGAGCATCTCCCGGTGCTTCACAGCTTCGCTGAAGAGGAGGTGGAAACAGATGCTTGTGTCCCAGTAACTGAGCTCCACCATGTCCGCCGCGTGCATCGCACCAGCCCTCTGGTGAAGAGCCGTCTGCCTCACGGTCTTCCGGTACCCCGACGGAGTCACCATGAGGCTTGCACGGGCGTAATCGCGCAATGCCTTCGCAAGTTCGCGTGCTGCTGGTGCTTCGGGGTAAAAGGAAACTTGCCAGAAACTTGCCCACAAAGAGCAAACTTAGCCAAGACCAAAATGGCCTTTTTCTCTGGTCTTTGGGGGCAATTCAGCAAAAGCCCGAAGACCAAAATTGGACCCCGCCGTCGGATAAGGCTGTTCGGGGTAAAAAAAAGACCAAAGTGAAGCCATTTCACTCTTTTCGCAAACACCCTAATCTGTCAATCAATGCTGTGAGAATATCCAACAACCTGGTCGCCGAGGAGTGCACCAAGGTCCTGAGCATCTTTGTTGATCCGATCTCCTCGTGATGTCGCGACCCCGTTGGATGTGGTTGTGTTGTTGTCCTCTCTGTATGTTTCGCCATGTTTCGCCTTCTTCCCTCTGTTGTTACCCGCGTGTTGTGTATCGGGTGCGGGACCAGGCAGCAGTTGGCAGACGCAGCCGAGTAAGGTCACAGCGGTTGGTTGCGGTTGGTTGTTGGAGGCGGCTCAGCGACCATGGGTAGGGCAACCCGGGAACGAGTTATATTTATTTCGCGCGAAGCGCCAAACGCGCGAAGCGCGAAAAAAATACGAAGAGGCGTATTCGAATGACGCGTCCTTTCATTGTCTCAAAGTTTGACGAAGGAATCCATGTATGTGTGGTTATTCAGTGCCCAAGGTTGCGGGTTCAATCCCCATCAGCGCCAAACTTTGTTTGCACCTTCCTTTTTTTCCCGATTTTTCTTCACGATGGGAGGGCCATCACCACCTATTGGCGGCAAATTAGCGAGTAAACCACCGTTTACGCGAAGGAAACTGTAGTTTGTTGCTGTACACGCCTGCAAAATTGCAGTCTGCGCGAAACATGGCAGCTTTTCTCTGTCTCGCGTGTGCAGCTTCAGAACAACAACATGAATGTGTTATTTTCTACAGGAAAAGAGTAATCTTCGTGCTCGCCATCAGAACGTGACGTCTTCTTGAAACTATTAGTCATAAACTCTCGTCCCCTTGTCGTGTCGTGCTTCGAACCAAAGATACACAGAAAAAAACGGTATCAACATCATAATACATAATTCATATGACTCGCCGAAACCATGACGCGCAACCGCTACTACTGCTGTGTCGCACGCTTCAGGTGCAAGCTACTACCACAGAATAATCGGTTCCTCCCTGCATCATATTGCCGGGCGGTTTTATACAACAAGAACACCAGGAACCCCATGCCCGTTTTACGTATATACAAGTAAAATTCAGCTTTCAGTGTATGAGCCACGGCAGACATTGCAAAGGCAGGGCGGGAACACCCTTTTCTTCCGTGCTTAAATGCATTTCAGTTCGCTCTGTGCGCGCCGAAACCTGGCAAGAGGCATGTAAGAAGGAAACACAGCGAGTGGAAAATCGGATCACGGCTCAAGCTCCATGAGAGAACCCAGGTGGAACCAATTTCGCACACACCACACGGCAACACGGCACAAGGCCTAAGGACCAACACGCGAACACCCCTACGACGAAAACACCACACGGGAAACAAGCTCAAAGTACGAACGAAACATATCTACGGACGGCGAGAGGCGCATGCTACTGGACCTGCTCGTATTTGTTGAAAATGCCGTGCACGGGGCGGGTGCGCTCTCCGTGCGCTGTTTCCCCTAGCCGAATGATCTTCGCAAACTTGAACGAAGCATCTCCAGCGAGTACGGTTCCGTCCCATCGCGGGGGGCCGTTGAGGTGGAACAGAACGACAAGCAGGTACCTACAACACGGAGTTCACCTCTCTCTACCGTGGACCCCCCGCGGCCTCCCTCTTCCCCACCAACACCTCTCCTGCTCTCGGAGGTGCAGAGGATGCAGAGACGACGGCACACGATGCCTTGCTCCTCTTCTTGCTCAATATTTCTCTGAATGTTGTCGGGCGGAGAGCTCGAGACGTCTGCACAATAACACTGCACGTGCACAACAACCCCCCAACGATTTGAAGTAGCGGTGAGTCTCGCTTGAAAATTCAAACTGGATTCAAACGCCCCGTCATCGTTCATTCCTCCCCAACGGCTGTACCACCACACCACCTCTCAGCGCCTGGTGAGCGCCTGGTGTGCGTTAATGCTTTTTGATAGACACCAGGGTGTTATCCCGTTGTCGGTGCCGATGCCTGGTCGGTGGCAGTGCAGTTCTCTACAGGCAGTGGGCGTGAAGATTGACATGTGGCCTTTTTGAGAGAATGCGACGCAACTGTTTGACAAGACGCACACATTCATTGAGCTCGATCTTTGTTGGAGGATGTTTTGTTCGGATACAGGTCGAGCGGAAACGAAATGCCGCCAGGCTAGCCGGTATAGAGTCGGCCCACCAACCCACGGTTTGTTTTGGCCTACTGCCTTTCGTTTTGTGTGTGTTTGTTGGCCTGGTGTGTAAGGGCTCTCACAAGTTTTCGTCGCAATTTTCATGTCCCAGCCTCTCCTAATACATTAGTCTAAGCTAGAGGTAGGTTTACACTGCTGTAGACTACGTGTGCCTCTGCCCCTTTGCCCAACAGGCTTGCGCAAGCAGTAGCGCCGACTGTGCACAGCGAGCACCAACTGACGGTAAGGGCCCCGACAAATACCCCCGGTTCCCTCCCTTGAGCGAACGTCAAATGGGTTGACCTAGGCAAAGCACCCACTCCACGCACGGAAACGACCTTCACATGTAGCATACACAGATGGTGTTTCGACCGTTTTTGTCGTGTGGGACAGTGATACAGCAAGGGTTGCCACCCACAACAGCAGCGAGGTTATTTTCGGCCGTCTCTGGAAATAGCTACAAATACCGCATCGAAGGGCAACCAAATCGTATCGGAAACAAACTGTCGTTCGTACCAGAGCGCAGCGTAACCACGAAGCGCGATAGTCCTCTACAAGCCACGTGCTTGGCGGGGAACTCGCCCGTTATCCGACTCGCTCAAGACGAACACCACCGTCTGGGCACAAGGCCTGCCTGGTTGGGCGAACAGTCTCGAATTCTGTGGTCCGAGACCTACGCACGGCTGTGCATGAAGCAGAATCCCCCTCACCACCGTCGAGCACACGAAGGAGAGATGGCAGAGGCCAGTAAACGTACGGTAGATACCACACCTCCCCCCCGCCACCGATTATGCGTAGCCCCGTCGGCAGCAAACCGCCGTGGCGGAACTCGCCATGCCGTAAAGGCAGAAGCTCCCCTGACTTCCAACATCGCTGCCTGGTGGTGTTCCAGGTACTCTAGAAGCAGCATCCCTTTGCCGTCTATCAACTCGGGGGCCTGGACTTGGAAGCCACCGAGCGACGGGGTGGAGCATGCAGCTGCTGACTCTGGATACACCAAAAGTATCACCAGTTAGAGCGCGGCGGCAGCGGCAGCACCAGCACCAGCACCAGCAGAAGCAGCAGCAGGCAATGCTACAGCAGTCACCTCCACGCCGACGCCCACGCCGTAGTACGCTGCCCGTTTTCGGGAGGGGGGGAAAGGAGGACGACCATGATAACGTCCTCCTTGGCGACGCCGTTTGCGACAGCGACGATGACAGCGTTGGGAGATTGTCACCGCGTAGGCGGCGGATGCGACGGCGGCAGCGCCCGTCAGCAGCAGCAGCGGCACCAACTCCACCGACAGCAAAGATGGCAACACCGGCGGTATCGGCGGCGGCTATGGAGCGGGGGTCGCCCCGGCTGTGGACCCTCCTGCGAGAAGCCCAGGAGGAGATGGAGCGGGGCACCGACGTACTCGGGGATGAGCTCAACATTCTGTGGCGAAACGTACGGAAAGGGGCCGCCGACGGTCGAGGCGACCGCGGCGATGGCGGCGGCGGCAGGTACGGGACGGAGACGGCCGGGGCGGTTGCCACCAGCTCGGCGGCGACGGCTGCTGCCGCCGATGGCAATAATGGTGGCAGCAGCAGCCCCCCGCAGTTGCCCCGGAGACAGGCGGACGCGTTGCTTCAGGGGCTGGAGAAGCTGCAGGCGGAGATGGAGGCGGAGGCCGCGTCTTTCCAGCGCCAGAGGAACGGGTTGATGCGGAAGATCCAGCAGTCTCTTGCGGTCGGTGAGCGGCGCCAGCACAAGCACAACAGCGAGGGAGCAGCGAGGGAAGGGAAGGGAGGAACGCTCGAATGGAGAAGGAAGAAGTGTGATCAGATCGTCGAGAGGCTAGAGGAGGAGGCGGAGAGCATGAGGGCTGCGGTAATTGCCAGCCACGCCCGGCTTCTTGGGCGCGTGCGAGAGGTATGGCTTTTGCTGGGTGTGGTTTTCGAGCATGCTCCCTTGTGCAGGTGGGGGGGGGGCGGGTGATTCGCCGGGCTGCTGCTGAAGCAGGTGCCAGCAGGTTAGACAATAAAGAATACCAGCAGCGTGGAAAGTGTTTTGGAAGGATAGTCGATAGTGGTGGTGGACGTGCTCGTTTATTTATCATCCCCGCCACCAGTGCTTGCACTCTGCTGTGCTTCATGCTACACGTCGCACGCTGAGGGGGGGGGGGGGGGGGGGGGGG